TAAGATTAAATCACTGTCCAAGATGATAAGCTGTGAAATATATGTGAAATTATGCTATTGTAATTCTTGATGATGTTGTGGATGGACAACTAACTTCATTTGTGCTAAAGGAATTATATTTGCAAGTACATGCAAAGTTCTTGACTAAAATGCCTAATCTTATTATTGAAGGTGAGGTCATAAGTCCTCTCGCATCGAGGCTAGCTCATGAATTTCTTATTATTGAAGGCGAGGTCTAGCCTATGCATTTCTTATTATCGGATGCAATATTTTATAAGTTCTCGTTCCTTGAATAAAGGAAGAGATGATATCTTTGGGTCCGCATTTCTTGAGTAAAGTAAGAGACAATATCTTGAAGTCTTTGTTCCTTGAATAAAGGAAAGGTGGTACCTTGAAGTCCCCATTCTTTGAATGAAGGAAAATACGGCATTTTATAAGTCCTCGCTCCTTGAATAAAGAAAGATGCGGTACCTTAAAGTCATAATTCCTTGAATAAAGGAAGACGCAATGTCCTCATTCCTTAAATAAAGGAAGAGGCTAATCGTCAGATTTGTTTGCCCTTGCAAAAGGAATCTTTCCTGACCTTATTTACGAGATGTTTATTCCTTACCTCTCACTATCATCAGGCTTAATTGTAAGACATCGTCCATCTAAGTCCGCTTATAGGACTCCGATAGTTCGAGAACTATTTGCGGGATGTCTATTTCTTGCCCCGTCAGATGTTTATTCCTGACCTCATCTCACTATGTTCGAGCTTAGTTGTAAGATCTCGTCTATCCGAGGTTGCTTATAAAACTCCGATAGCTCAAGAGCTATTTAAGGGATGTTTATTCTTCGCTTCACCAGCTGCTTCATCTTGGCTTTTCGAGATCATTATCCCTCGTCTTTTACTATTGTCAAGCCTAACTATAAGAACTCGTTCATTCGAGCTTGCTTATAAGTCTCTGATAATTTGAGACGAGCCAATAACTTGATATTTATTCCTCACTTCGTGAGATACCTCGTAATATGAGTTATTGCATTATAGCCGCATTTATCTTCAAAAAGTTCATCATGCCTCTACATTACAGCTACCTATCTTTTAGAGTTTTGCTTCTGCTTCAGCCATGTTATATCTACTTATCTTCAAAGAGCTTATATTATCCCATGCATGGATGAATTATTCACCATGAAGGAAACCCTTGACATGGATGAATCATCCACCATGCAAGGATGTCAATTATCACTTCGTAGGGAGAGGGATGAGCCCACCATATTACTTACGAAGATGAAGCCTTCTACGATTGGATTACACAGCATGGAAGAAACCCTTGTACAGAAGAGTAAACCCCTTGCAATGAGGTAAAATAATAATAATAATAATAATGCCTCAACCCAAAAAAAAAAATATATATACGTATGATGCCTTCCATGAGGATCCAAGCCTTGCTACATTAGAAGTTCATCCATTCCATGATTGGACCAAACACCATGGAGGAAGTCCTTGATATGGAAGTGTCACTTTCATATAAGGATATTAGCTTATCACATCTACTTATGTATAGAGCATCATCTCTGCTACTTATATTCAGAGCATATAAATATTCGACTTAGGGGACTATTATGATACTGATATCTTAGTGTCATTACATTATTACTGTTAGCATATGCATTATATTATTGTTGTTAAGTACACGTATCACATCATTATTAGCAAGTCATAACACTATTTTAGTTACAGACAGTACATATGATCATTTTTATTTTATTATCAATATTATGTTACTTGCTTCACTATAGCACTACTGATATGTGGAACTGTGTGAACATATGATTTATTATGACGCGTGACACACTTTCTTCATATTATATCTTGAAGAAATTTGATATGTTATCATTCACTTTATCATCATGAGTAACTTGAGGGACAAGTGGACCCTAAATTTATTTGGTATATATGCAGTGGATGTATTATATTATAGGTTGGTTTAATCCATATTATAGAAGAGATGTTGTCGAAATTTCGATAAATTATATGCGACATCTTTTGAGGCAATTCGTAAGACCTCGCTTATTCAGGCTCACATAGATATTTTCTGAGACAGTTCGTAAGTCTTCATTTTATTGGAGCTGGTAATATTCTAGAGGTAATTCGTAAGTCCTTACCTATTTGGGACTGATGAATATTTTCAAAGTAGGTCGTAAGTCCTTGTTTGTTAGAGCTACTCATATTTTTTAGGCAATTTGTAAGACCTCGCCTATTTGGTCGCTTATATTTCGAAGTTTGATCTACATATAAATGTACAACTCGGACTTGGGGAACTATTATTATGTATATAAAATTATCTCATATTGGGCCCTCCCCATTGGGTTGGAACTTGGTCCGATCTGACCCATTAGCTCACGAGACTCATTTCTATTTTCTATCTTAATGTGAGTTTCATTCATAACCAGGGAGGTGAGTCAACGTGGAGGAGGTGGGGTCGAAGTAGAGGAGGCGAAGCCGAAATTCCTTTGGCACATTTTTTGGAGGACAACACCATTCGTTTATTTAAAACTTTTTTCACGCATATCAATGCTCTTCATCAGATAAATCTGCACAGTGTGTAATGTCTAGTTTCTATGTCTTTAGGGATTTGTTGAAATTGATACAGTGCACAGTTTGTGCAGTATTTAGTTTCCACAGTTTTATAGATCAATTGAAAAATCAATGTGTGTCCACAAGTTCTTCGGTGGCTGACATATTTAATATTTTAATAGTTGTAAATGAAGTAGATCAAGAGGAAGGATGATTAAATGATGTCTTAACATATTTGACCCAGACAGATTTGACTCAATGTCGACTTTCAAATCTCTTATCGAGATAGGATAAAAGCAAGCGAGGCCCCTATTGTCTATTCCTACTCTTGGCCTTTTCTACCAAAGTATCCAATAGTTCAAGATAAACACAATAGTCCACGAAAAGGGACTAAAACTACGAAATGGGCGATCAAGCACAATGCTCCATTCTCAATTTCGCTGAACATAGCGATGTCAATGGATCGAGCCGAGCCGGCTCGGCTCGTTACCCTACGAGCTTG